TAACTTGTACTCTTCTCCAAGTATAATTAGAATGATCAAGTCAAGGAGGATGAGGTGGGCAGGTCATGTAGCACGAATGGGAGAGACGAGGAATGTGTATAGGATATTGGTGGGAAAGCCAGAAGGAAAGAGACCACAGGGAATACCGAGGCGTAGGTGGGTGGACGATATTAGAATGGATCTTAGAGAGATAAGATGGGATGGTATGGATTGCATAGATCTGGCTCAGGATAGGGACCAGTGGAGGGCTCTTGTGAACATGGTGATGAACCTTCGGGTTCCATAAAATTCTGGGAAATTCTTGAGTAGCTGCAGAATTGGCGGCTCCTCAAGAAGGGCTCAGCTCCATGAGTAAGTAAGTAAGTAAGTAGTAGTAATAGTAGGAGGGGGTGAGGGGGTGAGGGGGTGGGTGATGTAGTTTTTACACACCTGCACACACACACAAAGAATTGCACATTTATTGGGCATAAGTCAGAGGACAGTGTTGTAAATTTACTGCTTTTCTTGTATATGAAGTCATGCACCAGATGTACTAGGAAGCTCAAATGTGTAGGGTGAAATACCAAAGTAATTGTTTATCTTGGCAGTAGGATTGTCAAACTCAGTCATATTTAATGAAGAAAGTCGTCTTCTGGGTTTAGGCACCGTGTATTCTGTCCACACTGGTACATAGGGCCAGAGCTCTGTGCGATCAAGAGAGTCTGCGTGCGGAGTTGGAGTTCCTGAAGGACATCTTCAGGCGCAATGGCTATAACGACCGGCAGATCCAGAGGGCCCTCAACCGCCAACCCAACAGCAATCAACCTGATGACTGCAGGAACTGTCGCCTTCTTGCCCTTTGTCGGGACTATATTCAACAGGATCAGCAGAGTACTGTCCCGACATAACATCAAATCAGTTGGCCTGCCCCCAAAGAAAATATCTAATTTCCTCCGGCCTGTCAAGGATCACCTGGGACTGAGGACACCGGGAATTTACAGAATTCCATGTGAGTGCGGCAAGGTCTACATCGGGCAGACGGGCCGTTCTGTGGACACGAGGTTGAAAGAACATCAACGGCATATACGATTAGAACATCCGGACAAGTCAGCCGTAGCTGAACACAGCATCGATTTAGACCACCGTATCGAGTTTCACAAAACGGCCATAATCACCAGTAAGAGCCGTTATCTAGATCGCATAATCCTGGAGGCCGTTGAGATTGAGCTCCATCCGAACAACATGAACAAGGAAACAGGGTTCAGTCTCAACAAGTCATGGAAGCCACTCATCTCTTGCCTCAAGAGAAATACAAGCCACTCCAATTCTTCGCCATGTCATTGACGTCAGTAGCCTGTCCCCCTGTATCATGTCATTGACCTCAGTAGCCTGTCCCCAACCAACTAGTTCTTCTTGCCTACCGCACTTTCTAGTGCTGTTGACCTCAAGTTCCTGGATTTACTGGCCGTCCCCCCCCCCACTTAGTCACATCATTGGTCTTTATCGCTCTCAACAATCTCGACAGACGTGAAACATCCTTTCCCTCAGAGAATCCAACTACACCAGTTCTTCGTCATGTCATTGACGTCAATAGCCTGTCCTCAACCTACTGGTTTTTCTTGACTACCGCACTTCCTAGTGCTACTGACCTCAAGTTTCCTGTACTCACTGGCCGTTCCCCCTCTCCCTTAGTCACACACCATATATGGCCTTAATCGCTCCCCACTGCTCCCATTGGTCCGTTCTCCCTAACCACCCCCCCTGCCTACTTCGTATATAAGCAGCACCTTCCACATCCTATCACCACAGCTACTGCTCTCCGCAGCCATTCAACTGCCCTGAAGATGGAGGCGCTACATTCCTCCGAAACGTCGGCCAAAACGAAGAATACACGGTGCCTAAACCCAGAAGACGACTTTCTTCATTGTCATCGCCGTGAAAACCTCAAAACTTACATCAGTCATATTTGTTGCATTAACATTATTTATATAAGCAGTAAGTATAATTTTAACTGAATTTCTTACCTCTGAACTGTGGAGTAAGAATTCCTTCAACAGTTATGCTACTGGTATCACTTTCACCACACAAACATGTTGGAACACAGCTATTGTAAAATTTTTAATTCAGCTTAGGGCAAAGCAGGCCAAGTAAATTACAATCTTTCAGAAAAAGTAATACCACATATCTGTTGGCACTTTTGTAACTTCAAGTGATCAAACCCTCTTCCTGTTGCACTTATGTTCTGTATTTATTGTACTGCGCATGAGAATTGTCTTCATGTGGCATGTATATGTATTGTTCTAGGGCCCTTTCAGCTCATCTGGTTTGAATAAAGTGTCCTGTTTGATGTTGCGATAAGGAGATCATAGTTCATGCAGGCATTATCTACTACTAAGTTGTGTACATGGGCCTGGGACAGTAGTGTGTTGCTCAGTGCATTGGCATCTTAATTATTTTCACTTATGTATAGTAACTGGTGGCATACAGTAGCATAGTTGGTTGAGGCACTATGCTAAAAGCCAAAAGGTCGTGGGTTCAATTCCCTATGAGGTCACTGGATTTTTTCAGTTTATCTAATCCTTCCAGCTGCACTATGACCTTGGGGTTGACTCAACCCCTAACATAAATGAGTACTAGAAATATTCCTGGAAGTAAAGGGTGGCCAACACGTAATGCTGACAACCTCACGGCCATCTGTGAACAGATTGTCTAGAAAATGTGGGAGCCTTGGCGTCTCATAACCCTATGGGCCTTCATGGTATGTTACAGGGACAGCTTTACTTTCTATGTATAGTAACTATTAACAGTGGCTTACTATCCAACAAGCAACACAGAAACAAAGATAGTGTAACTTAGAGAAGCCAATGCATCACTTTTAGATTATGAAAAAGTATTTGACAAAGTAATTCAATCAAATTTATGGCATATCCAGCATAAGATAAAATTTCCAAGGTATAACATAAATGCAATATGCAGCTAATTTTTAACATTAACATTTAATAAACAAGGATAAGTACCTTGTTGGAATTAAAAAGGTCAGGGAAGTGGATATGAACACTGTGTACACAGTCATTGAGTTTCTGAACATTATCCAGCATCCTGTTTTTTATTTAAAACACAACATTTTGGAGACTTCATCAATTGGGCCCAAATAAGTAGTCTTTTACTTGAAGATGGAGACAAAATCCAGTCTCCAATTTGTTGTGTTTGAAATAAAAAACAGGTCGATGGACAATGTCAATAAACTTGATAACTGTATCAATATATCATTGTCACAAACTTTTAGAGCTGTGTACACAGATGAATCATGGGTCAATATATGAGGGCTGTTCAGAAAGTAACCTCCATTTATTTTCGGCAACTAATGTAGGAGCCAGGAAGAGCTTGTGCATGTTAAGGTAGCATTACATGACTCATTGCCTTGTAAACCATCACAGAACTGGTCACCTAGTGTTTGTTTTTGTCTATACAGACTGAGTTATGATGTGTCCTGTGATTGATAAACCCACTGGCTATGAAATTCACTCTGTTTGCCGCCTTCTTTATGCTAAAAACATGAGTGCTGCAGAAATGCATCATGAATTATGAACAGTTTATGGCCAATATGTAATGCATGAAGGAACTGTAAAATGTTCAAACAAATGTGCACAGTGAACAGTGAAGTGCTCAGCCAGCCATCTATAGTGAGTGATGATCTTGTTGAAAGTGCTGACCAAAAATTTTTTGAAAGACGGTGCTTCACAATTTCAGAACTTTTGTGTGAATTTCCGTAAGTTTTGCGCAAGATGGAATCTGAAAATGCTCATGGATGGACACAAAACACAGAGATGGCTTTGGCTTTGACATTTTTAGAGCGATACCACAAAGATGGTGATGAATTTCTCAGTCACATTATAAAAGGTGATGAAACCAAAGGCAGTCAAAGCAGTGGATGCACACACATTCACTAAACAAGCCAAAATAGTTTAAACAAACATCTGCCAGATACATGGTAACTGTTTTCTAGGACAGGAAAGGAATGATGGAATTCATGCAACATGGACCACAATAACATCAGAAGTGTACTGCAAAACACTAAACAAATTGTAGGGCAATTCAGAACAAAAGGTATGGAATGCTGTCATCCAGTGTAGTGCTCCTTCATGACAAATGTGTGTATGCGTACAGCTGCTTGAACTCAAGCACAGCTGGAAGCTGTTTGATGACCCTCCTTCCAGCCCTGAACTCTGGAGTAGACTGTATAGGGTAGTTATGTAATACATCATATTTCATTTCTTCCCGTAAGAGCAATCTACTACCTCAGGTTACTGTTGAGGTAAGAGACTTGTTTCAAAATCCTGTGCCATATTAATTTGGTGTTTGGCTGTACCTGAACAACCTTTCTGCTCCTAATACATTACAATGCTGTAGCCACAAGAAAAACAGTTTATTCTTATTGTCAATCAGCTTATGGTTTTATACGTTTCTGTAATTCTGTAGTGTTCTAATCCCTCATTCATCAGTGACAGATACAGTGAGTTGACCAGCAACAAACACGAACCAGCACATATCGTCACTGTTGCACATGCATGTCATGTGCCATACTGAGGGTTGTTTTAAAGAAAATTAAAATATGTTAGAACTAGTATCTGGTGCATTACAACTCACACAAACTTCCCAAAGAATCCACTGGCTCTTTTGGTCAGTCATGCCCTTAATTAAGGCAGCACCCACTATGTCACTGAAGGATAAACTTGAGGATTGAACTGGAGTAGAACAGGGTCCAGTACTGATGAAGGACCTCCAGGTTCACTGGGAATTTCTTGAAAACATGGATAAGAGTAAAGCATGTGAGATTTGAGGTTCTCATGATGGTGATTAATGATTACCATCTTCTGGAATGTGGTGCCCTGTAGTTAGGCAGATAGTAGACAGGTACCAATATTTTGATGAAATGTTCCTCTGAACTGTAAACCACTGGAAGAATATACCATACCATGCCAAGTTAGATAAAACTGTTCACAGTAGATATAAGAATGAAAAACTTTTGTATGGAAAGTTATATTCTAGAAATAAGACGCCAATCTTTCCACATTATATGACTCGCATACATAGCAACTTGTTAATCGACTGGCCATAAGTTATGGACAGAACACAATAAGATGTATCTAAATCATACCAACTGGCCCACAAGATCAATAGGCACAATCACATGATGACAATTTTATTGCATCACATGAGATGTGTATCCTGTATTGTGTGATCTGTTCAGACTGTTCTATTTCTCTCTCACTCAGCACTGCCAGCAACTTCACTTGGGACATCAACCCATCTTTGAATCCATTCCACCTACATGCTAAAATACATATTAAAGCTCCCTCCCCGAATGTTTCAGACATCAGCCATCTCTGTGCATTTAATTAAGGAAAAATTTTTAACAATTAAAACAGTTTGTTTTTGATTGGCACTAGATTCATCATTTCCGGTTCTGAAGAGCATTTGACAGCCAGTCCATGGCAGAGTCTAGGCCTTCTCCCTTTGTCGCTGAAGTCTTGAAGATTTGAAATGTCCGGTTCTTGAGAGCATCAAGTCCTAATGCCTGGTGGACTTCAGCAACACTCAGAGAACCTTCAATGTCCTGTTTATTGGCAAGAACTACCAGTATTGCCCCTTGCAGTTCATCCTCCTGTAACAGTGGAACCAACTGCATTACCAGAATGTTTGCTTTTTCCATGAAGTCTGTCAAAATAGATTACAAAGGCCATGCTATCTGAGCAGGGGCAATCACGACAAGAAAATTAGGAGCAGAAAGCAACGGACCGATATCGGAAAATACTCCTTTGTAAATAGGACCATATAGATCTGGAACCAATTACCTTCCTGCAAACCAGGTAATTTAAGGAAAAGGGTTAGGAAAGTGATAAATGAGCCGAAGTGAAGGTGGGGTGGAAATCAGCAAAAAAAATGCAGTGAAGTGAAGTGAAAAATATTAAGGATGGGAGGATTACGTAAGTGTAGTAAAGCGAAATGAAAGGAAAATGAGAACGTGACATTATGCATTCATTGCTGTTAGTTTATTGTATATTATGTTAATTTTCTACTACTGTTTGTGCACCGTGTTTTGTTTGAACGTGTGTTATTTGTCTGTCGTCTTATTGTAGTAATGTGTGTAATTTGACTGTTGTCTTGTTGTAGTACCACTGCCACCGGGTGAAACCTATTTGCAGTTAAATAATACTAAAATAAAATATTGGAACTTGATTCTTAGGTTATTATTTCAGCTGCAAGCGTTATGTAGCATTAACCGTTTCAGCTGCACACGTTATATAGCATCAACCATTTCAGCTGCATGGGTTATATACATAGCATCAACCATTTCAGCTGCATGTTAAATAGCATCAACTGAGATGGGAAAATGATCACTAGTAGTGCGTACGTAAAGATGTGGAAGGTAATGGAAGGTCGTCATGGTCTATTTCAAGTTATTGTCCTGGCATTCATATGGAGAGTGGAAAACTATGCAAAACATCAACTTGGATAGCCAGTAACCTGGTTAAGATTTGAAATGGAGTCCGGTAAAATATGAGTTCTGTGGTACTACACCCATCTGCTCAATTTGCAGTCCCAGCAGAATTCTTTTGCTGGAATGTCTTTTACAAATAAGATCAGCTGTGTGAATTTAATCTTATCTTTATTTAACCATTTTACGTCACACTTATTTTAGTCCAGACACTTGCCAAAATCCAGAACCAGACATATCACTGACATTTCTGTGACCAGTTCCAGCGATTCATTTTGTAGCAGCTATAGCGGACACAAGTGGTTCCATGCCAAGTGGTCTATCATCCAGTAACCTTCATGAACGACTAATTGGTAGACCCACATAAAGAAGCATTTTTCCTTGTGGTTCCTTTAGATAGATTTTCTGAAACAGCATTAGGTGAGTCACTCACTCTCAACATATAAAGCAGTTCATCCTTTGATATGCCTATTCTGTCTTTGTCAGCAGAATCCACTACATAGATGATAGCATCTGTGTTGGAATAGTAGCAGCGCCAGTAGGGCCTGGAACAACCCAATACAAATTTTTCAAAAGATCCTTTTCTGTCAACTTGTTCTACTTTAGTACTAAGAACTAAATTCCTAAATGATTCACATCAGCTAAATGCTGAAACTTGGTCTTGCAAATGGTTTCTTAATATCTCATCAGGTTTGTGGAGTTATTTGTTGCACTGTGATATGTTTACAACAAAAATCAGTCATAAAATATGAACGACTCAAACACAGTTTAGATATGAGGTGTATTCAAAGAGTAATTGCTGTTGGCAACTGATATACATTATCTGTATCAATTCACTATTTACCTCATCACTGACTGTCGTGTACATGAGACTGCACTTTTGCTGTAAATCTGACTCCCGAATAATGTGTGGTCATCTAACTGCTTTTGCAAAATGCCTGTATTTGTTCTGAACTTTACTTCCAGGTCAAGAAAAGATTGTGATCCTCAGTAAAAAAAAGATTCCCTAAAATAGTGAACAGTCCTGGGAGAGCAGTCTGATATTTGAATTACGGAAGATGGTCACACAGTCTACCAAATTTCAACAATCATCTACTGGTGTGTTCTTCGGTTATAAATCGAAGTAATTTATATTAAATGATATTCATTTATTCATTCATTTATTTATAGTTCCAAAAAATCCATAGAGGCATCTGCCTCAGATATAGAACAAGTCAATAATACAATATAACATATAAATATACATACATAATCAGATAGTCATCATCGTCAAAATTTAAATACTCAATACAACAAAACTACTGTACAGCAATACATTCCATATACCAAAATAACATTTAAAATTACATACATGATCAAAAGACCACCACGATATGATAATTAAATCATAATGGTCAACTTTTGAGGTACTGTCCCAGCATTTAGATGAAGCAGCCTGGGTTAAAAGTAGGTATAGATAATATATATTGTACTCTTTGTCAGCACAACAGTATTTCCAGCACATGGGGTTTGCTGTCTAAGACGACATGTTCTGGCACACATGTGTCATCTTCAGACCCCGTTTATAGTTACACTTAATGTATCATACATTTAGTGTAAATTTACATGTAACACTAGTGTATCCATTGACTTTATATGTTTGGATTTGCACTGTGTGTACCTTGTTTATTGTATGTACGTATTTTGTTTCGTATTGTTCCCTTATAAACTTTCCTTGTCTGTATCAGTGTAAGTTCTAGTGCCACCGGGTGAACACCCAATTGCAGTAAAATAATAATAATATTATATACTCTAGATACCATTTGTATATTATACAGTTTCCTATATTAGGGTACCCTGTATCCACTAGAATAGCCTGTTATAGCATTTGCTATCACATAACACACCAGTGGCTCCACTCAGCTTGCATGTAAATTTATGCTAATTGTAGGATACATTAACTGTAACTATAAAGAGGCCCTGAGGATGGCAAATATGTGCTGAAACATGTCACCTTAGACAGCAACCCCATTACTGAAAATAGTGTTGTGTTAATAAAGAGTTCAATAAATATTATCTATAATGGTTTGCATAACAGGATTCAACAAAATATAAGTAAAATTAGGTAGCTCCCTAATGCTAATCACATTTTTCTTAAGCAACCATTAACTCTGAACTGGAGAAAAAAATGGTTTGGGTTCCAGTTACTTGGACCCTCTCTAACAAAGCCAAACCAGAGCTCACCAAAAGAGGCACTATGGAATGAAAACCCAAATTATATACTGCACTATCCAAAATCCCTCTGAAAGATGAAGTATTCGTTGTTAAAAGCTGAGAATTAATAAGAATGCCAACAATTAGGTAAATATTTTTGTGTAAGTAGCTTGGCATAGCTCCATCATTTGCTATGTCAACATTAATTACATTTCAATACCTTATACTTGTCTGTCCTCCCAGATCCCACACTTGAAACTTCAGGTTCTTATATGTCACTTGTTCCACATTAAAGCCAATAGTGGGAATTGTTGTGACTACTTCACCAACCTGTAATCTGAAATATCAGAAAACAGTTCAAAATACAAAACTGTTACATAATTACTTTCTTACAGTCATCTAAAAGTGTCCATGAATTTCATTTATTGTACTGGCATTACAACATTATGAAATACCTAACTAATAAACTTCTAAATACTTCCTTACCTTATTTATAAAAAGAAAATACTGTTTCAACAAATGTTCATTAACAAAATAAAATATATGTATATTCACCTGTAAAGTATTGTTGTTTTCCCAGCACCGTCTAATCCGAGTATAAGGATTCTCATTTCCCGACTTCCAAGGAGGTTCCGAAAATAGCTCAATAACCCTCCTAACAAAAATACAAATAAACATCTGAAATTTCATACATATAACCTAAATTTCTACAGCGGGTGTTATCTTACACTTTCATGTATGATGCCATGAAATCTTACAATAGGCACGTGAGGCATGTTATTCAACCTTACTCCTCTCACATCCTGAACATAAACTATTTTTACATTAAAAATAATTAATTATAGCATAAATTAAAACCATGATTTATAGACATGTTAAGCCTAGACGAAGTAATTTCGAACGTTGTCGTAGCATTTCATTCATACGTTTTACATTCCGTACCCATTTTGATTCTTCCGTATGAATTGACGATTATATGGTAGAAAAATAATTTTAATTTTTAATCTGCTACCACCTCGAGTGTCCCTCTAAAGTAGTCAATACACATCACTCGAAACACCACATGAGATTTGACGTGTACCGCACATGATGACCAACCTCTCAGCAAGAATCGAATGTACAATGTTGGCTACTATTTCATTGTTCAACTAGTAGTTCAGCTTACAAATAGGTGGTAGGAGAGGAAACAGTACTGTATGTAACAGTAGTAGTAGTAGTAGTAGTAGTACTAGTAGTACCCATGGGATGGCCCTAATTGCTGGTCTCGCAACGCGAGTAAGTGACAGTAACAAACACCCTAAAGATGAGCCCTTCTTGAGCAACTGCCGATTGTGAAGCTACTCAAAAATTACCCAACATTTTATGGAACCTGAAGGTTCATTACCGTGTTTGCAAGAGCCCTCCACTGGTCGCTGTCCTAAGCCAGATCAATTTAGTCCATACCACCCCAAACTGTCTATCTAAGATCCATTTTAATATTATCAAGCCACCGACGTCTTGGTCTTCCTAGTGGGCTCTTTCCTTCTGGTTTTCCCACCAAAACTGTATATACATTCCTCTTAACCCAATTCCTGCTACATGCCCTGCCCATCACATTCTCCTTGACTTGATTATTCCAATTACACCTGGCAGAGACTACAAGTTATGAAGCTCCTCATTGTGCAGTTTTCTCTAACTTCCAGTCCCTCTTCAGTCCAAATATTCTCTTCAGCAACCTGTTCTCAAACACTCTCAGTCTACGTTCGTTCCTTAATGTCAGAGACAAAGTTTCACACGCATGTGCTAAAACGCTTCAGCCAATCTGTTATAAGGAATGAAACAGATGTCTTGTTAGAGAAGAAGTTTAATTCATTGAGGTGTGAACAGAAATTAAAAATAATTTATTTGGAGTCACATCATCGTTAGGATTTCGTTATGGACAGTGCGAGCAAACGAACATCAGAAGACTAAGGACGCTTTCAGATGGTTGTGACTTGGTTGTGATTCCTGATGACATGACCAGCCAACTCCAGTCACTCAATATTTCGGCAAATAAATCATTTTAAATGTTATTTAAGGAAGGAATACGAGGCTTGGTTGCTATCCGAAAAACTTCCACTGATGCCATCTAGCAAGACTGCTTCAAAACATGCAGAATGGATCTCGGCCACTTGAAAGAAGGTCGGAAGAAAAACCCCAGAACTGTCGTTCAAGAAATGCTGCATTACAAAGGCAAGTATTTGATGACACAGAAGATCATATCTTAGGGACTGATTCCGATCTTGACTGTCCTGATCGGTCCTGATTTAAAAGGCGACTCAGAAGAATCAGTAGAATTGGAACGAGGCTGGATGCACAAATGAAGAAGACAGCGAATAAAATAGGTAACATTGTTAATTTTAATTTTCGGGTTAGTGGTCAATTGTGTTTGTTAATAAAAAAGGAAAATATGTTTGAACATACAAAATTCTTATTGTATATACGTATTTTTTCCCCTGAAAACCTGTTGCTAAATCAAGGGTGCCTCTCACTATTAATTGCTTCTTAGAATCTAGGCAATGCGGCACGCCAAATTTGTAGCCTGCTGTAGTTTTCTCACTTAGTATAAAATACGTTAAATGACTAGTGAATTTGGTATGCAACTTATTCAATTAATGACAAGTAATTAATTTAATGAATTTATATTTTAGAACTTAGGTACAGAGTGCACAGTGAAAGAATAGTTACAGATTCAAGCGATGCTCAACATATAAATCCTCAAGTAGCCATTGATCTAGATATTTTCATAACATAGGTCTCGGCAAGGTTCTCTGGTTAGTTACTTAGCCTTGAAAATGGAGAGAGAAAGGTCTCAGAAACGTTGGACGCGGGCTGTATAGCTAAGAGAAAATATTACTGTCTCATTCTTCAAGACGAAAGGGGCACTCTGTAACATAGTTGGTTGAGGCATTATGCTACAAACCGGAAGGTCTCGAGTTCGAGTTTAGATAAGGTCATTGGGGTTTTCAATTGACGTAATCCTTCCAGCCGCGCTATGGTCCTGGGGCCAAATCTTTCTTGGGGAAAGGAGCGGCTGGCGCGTAAGGCTGACAACGTATCCGCCGTCTCTCAGCTCCTTGTCTAGAAAAATATGGGATTCTCGACGTCTCACAAACCTATGGGCCTCCATAGCCTGTTCCAAGGATAGCTTTACTTTTATCTTCAAGGCGAAGTAATACTAATAATATGACGAATTAGACGGGACAGTTCCCATGGACTTGAGGGTCTTACTATAAGCACAGACAGGGCTCACTGGACAGATACTTCCTCTAGAAACAGAAGACAGTATGGATCTCCGGATCGCCGGCAATACATTCTGCTTCGACGCGACGTTTTCACACAGAAACAAAGTCCACACTAATTTTACATATGTGTGAACGTTTCCAGGTTGCGAGAGGGAAAGAGGAGGGTACATTTACGCCTCCGTTAGTTAAGTGGTCTTTGCTGATTACGATATTAAACCTCTCATTTGCACCACTTCTGATTTTCCCGTGCTTGAACCTGTACCTCAGTTTTCTTGGTTTAATTGCCCAAACAATATACGATAAGGGATACAAATTATGAAATTTATTGTTATGTATTTTCTCCATCCTCGTGTTTCTTCGTGTCTTTCTTTCAAAATTGTTCTCAGAATTTTATTTTTCAGATATCTTCATTCTATATGTTCCCTTCAGTGCAAAGATTTAGCTTTTTACAAGCAAAAAGGAAAAAAGTGAAGCACAAAATAATAGTTTTATATCTGTGATTTTATTTATTTTGGGAGGTGGCTGCAAAAAAACATTCTGAACTACAGTACACGGAATCGTGAGATATGAATTATGACACTGAAAATCGTGATCCAATGGAGATGAATGCAAGAGATTCCTCCGAAACGTTGGTAACCACCTATTAGAACTACGACACACACCACAAGCTTACATAGAATTATTAACTTCGTGAGTTGATTCTGGTCTTAACCCTATGACGTACATAATTTTCATTTATTATAATCAGTACTACAGCTTAATTATGCTGTTGCTGTAATGTAATGATGGTAATAAGGACGTGGACAATAACAAGAAGTCGCTCTGCGGAGAACTAATCCTCTGCTTCAATGCGTGTACGTAATAAAGTCAGCAAAACAATACAATTTCAGAGGCTGCAGTATTGGTATTACTGACGGGAAGGGTCTGTGGAGTACACCGTATAGATCGTAGAGATGGTCCCAGGTGGCATGATGTACGTACCAAGTTTCATGACAGTCGGTTCAGGCATTCAAGTATTAAGGTTATTGACTCAACAACTGGAGAGTCTGCAGTGTTTTACGTTTATTACTTACGGAAGGGAAGTGTGAAGTGCCCCGTCGAGGTGGCCTCAGGTGGCATGGTATATACCATGTTTGATACAGATCGGTTCCGGCTTTCGAAAATTGTTAGAGGGGATACGCACACACGCGCACGCACCCACGCGCGTGCACACACACACACACACAAACGGAGCAAGGAGTTCCCACAAGCCTGTTCTTATTTTTAGAAATAAGGAAAGTAGTCTATTAACACGGTCAGGACGGTCAGGACACTGGCTATCATGGTTGAAGTTTCTCGTGCCTTTTCTCGGCCCTTCTAGGCAGATGCCGGGATAGTACTTCTGTCAGGCCACGGCCGCTTCCTTCCGAATCCTTTCTGATTCATCGTTTATCTGTCATCTCACAATTCGAATAAGCATAGTCTGGCTACTGCCGTAGTCGTTTAATAGTCCAAAAATGAAACAAACGAAAACAGCAACAATAACAACAAGCCGAACAAATTGGTGTAGCGATACCGTCTGGAGGTGCTCGGTTAGAATGTCATCTAAAATAAGGGTTATTCAGACTGAGGTTTTTGTTGTTTTCCTCAGACCCCCCGTGACAGCACCTCAATTAGGCCCCAACAGCTTCCTTCGAAGTCATTTCCAATTTAGCATTAGTCAGTCATCCTGTCATTCTGTGCTGTACACTCTCCATGCTGACAACGTCGCAAAATAACCCATGAAAAAAGAATAAAAAGAGTCTGCTTTAATGTTTTGCTACGAATCTGTGGCTATCTGCTCATCACAACTCGTAGAAGAAGTTCAGAATCCTACCACAAGATGGCAGTACACTACCCTAATGTTTACGAAACTCCGTGGCTGTATAACCGCGTATAACTATGTAGGTGATCTGTGGTTGAGACGGCTGTGGCGGTCGTTGTCGGTGTGGTACACTTCGCGTTTGAAAACACGCTTGGTGCGATTGTATGGGTGTTACTGACTTGAGTAATACTGCAGAAGAAAGGTGTTTCGGTGATATAATAGTTAAAATTGTAGGAGTGATTATGAAGCGGATCATCTCATCTGAAGAGGTAAGCCCAGCCATGTGTTTTATTTTATAAGCAAGACTTTCAATACTGTAGAGGCACAGGTGCAGAGTGACGAGATTTACGAGAAAGCAGTGATGGAATTTAGAAAGAGAGAGCATGTAACTTTTGTGGACAACCCTGTGGAATGTTTTTAGCCGCGGGGTACAAGGGAAGCCAACATGAACTGCTCGTTATCATGTCTAAATTGCATAAAAAATAATGTACTCTGTGTTTAGTGGCATAGTATGACGGCTACCGAATGCTTGCCTCTCATTTGGCACTAGAGTTCCGCCTTGGCACAGCTGTTCAGAATTTTCCAGTCTCGAAGATGAAACTTGCATCACAAACACATGTTCACATTTTTGTGGTATTCTTCCCATCTGATTTTTTGTTGTCCCTTTCGACAAGCTATTCGACAACAGAAGAGAGGACCAACTGCCAATGATGGAAAAAGAAAACTACTCTTTCAGGGAACCAGGAGCTGAGAGACATTTCCAGTTTGATGTGCTGTCGAAACTAAAGACATTCGCCCTCTTCAGTAATCTATCAGAATTGTCATTCATACGTTCAGATATAATTTGTAGTAAGTGTGGTTTTTGCCAGTCCATCCCATCAAATGTTTAAATGATATACTGGGTAGATAACGATGGAAAGAAAGGCGAGGTGTGTAGAGAATGTACCACGAAAGGAGGAGAAAAGAAATTAAGCAGTGCATAACAAACATTTGGTTGCAATCGGACGAAACCAAATATGGAATATGGGCGTAGACGGCAGGATAACATTAAGGTAGATCAGAGAGAAATACGTCGTGAAGATGTGAACTAATTTAATGTGTTATAAGGTAGGCAGTCCTATTTAATATTTGATGCATAACAAAAGTGAATGCCGTGATGCTGAATAACTATCAGTTATTTGAGAAAGACCCTATAATGTGGCTTAGATAAAATGTGGTCATCTGGGTTGTGACACCGTGTAGGTTTGCTCAGGATAAAGATCAGTAGCAGGCTGTTGTGAACATGGTAATGAACCTTCCAGTTTTATAAAAGGCGGAAATTCTTGACTAGGCGAACGACTGTAAGACAGTATATGTATAGTATATCATACAAAATAATGAAAATGCAAATATTCGCAACATTGGACAAGGCGAAGCGCGACACAGGAAATATAAGAGGCTTAAACTTGGCGGCGGTGAAGCATACGACCGTTCAAATGACTAGACTGCCATTGTAGCAAGAGCTACTAATGATAGTGCATGATCTGCTGTACTGAGCATGGACTGACAGAGGCATTGTATATTTTGTATATGCATACATTTAATAATATACAAAATGTAAATTGTACACACAGACAACAGACATATTACTGGTGACTTTGACTCTGGCAAATGATAGATCCGTCCTTTCGTCAGAGAGAGCGCCCCACATCAGCAAACCTACAACTGCCTGACAGTAATAAAGATCTGGTCTTAAGCCCCTGATTGGTGCTTTATTCCAAGACAGACTGGAAGACTGACCTTCTGTCGTAATGTAACTTTGACTTTGACTTCGAAGTTCGTCAGAGGGAAAATATAAAAGGTTTGAACCTGGCGGTGGTCAGGCTTACAACCGTTCAAATGACTAAGCTGCTGTTGTAGAATAAGATGCGAAAGATAGGCATGATCTGCTTTGCAAAGCCTGTACTGACAGAGGACTTGTATATAGAGCAAAAGGAAGAATTTTCAGTAACATACTACAGTTATACAGTAACATACTACAATTATACAGTAACATACTATAAATGCGTTAAGTACGCTTGGCTAAAGGCCAGGCATATTCGTAAGAGATAAACCCATCTTCTCGTCAGAGAGAATGTTACGGAAGGACTATTACCGAAAGGGCCCGGTTGAAGAAATCTCTGATTGTGAGTCTCAAGGGGCTTGATGTCAAGACGAACTGATTGGAGTAAGCCTCCATTCGTAAAGTAACTTTGACTTTGAGTTCGTCAGAGTTGTAAGAGAATCTGTGAAGAGAAGACTTGGTCAGTGTATTTGAAGAATCCGTGACTGATGAAGACAGAGCAGACTAAAAATACTTAGCATGTGCCGTAGTGATTTGTAAAGTTTGAAAGTTAGCGATAGTGTTATATGTAGTTACGACTTGTACATGATCAATAGTTAGTTAGTTATTGGAGAGGGTGGGTTTCCCCATGCACTGAGACCTGTATTTGTCCATTGTGCTTCCCTCTATAATTTCTACCAGTCTCTATATCCTACCGGTACTGGTGCTTACCATCAGTCCCGCCCAGCCAGCGAGACCGGCTCTACTAGCTGAGAGGTATCTATAATGCTTCCCCCATCTACCAGAGGTATTAGAGACTGCTGTTGGGCGGGAAACGTCCGTTAATTTGGCTCAGTGACCTCCTTTGGAGATATGAGGTTCTTTTACGTGCCGTAAAGCTACGACCAACGGCTTAAAGTCCCTCCCGGGGGACTTGTTCCCTGAATTTTTCCGCCCTTAAAAATTCGACGACCTCCGCCGGGTATTTGAACCCGCGTACTACGAGTCATGAGATGGGAACGTTACCTCTAGACTACGGAGGCCGCTTACATGATCAATAAATCCAATCTCCAATCCAAAACCCCGTCGAGAATCACTCTAACACGTGACAGTATCACGTGACACCGGTGGATCCACTCAGCTTACATGTAAATTTACACTAAGTATATTATCACGTGTTTATGTCTCCGTGACTAATAATAACGGGTTCTTGGTTGGATGTTTGGATTTATTACCACCTTCTTGTACAATCACTCGTACTTACAAGCAATACGGCACTGTCGCTGATTTACACAATTTACAGTTCACCGTTACACACGCACTAGGGTTCCAAGTCTTTACTAGTCGTATACTGGTAACGGAATTAAAACAATCTCACTGTAACTAAATCTTCTAATTACACATTACATCTTCACAAACCGACTTCGAATTCTTCTTCAACTGCTAACTTCTTCTGGCTATCTCCTACCGAAAACTCCGTCGTACTCCTTCAATTCTCATTCTCGTACACTTTTTACTCTTCTGTGCTTCTACATCTCTCTTTCGCGTACTCCTACAGCTGCTAGCTTCGGAATTCGACTCTCTCATGCGCGGACCACGCAGCGCAGAAAACACAGTCCCTCTATTGTTGTAGAGGTGTGTTAACACGCAGTTGCCCAGCAAACAGTCTCGGCGCGGACCGCATAGAAAACACCTTTTATTCTTGTCGCGTATTGTTATAGCCGCGTATATATTGGTCAGATACCTAGCAATGGATGTCCTTTATTGACGCCTATTTTGTAAGCATTACCCAGCAGTGGGCTGTTTACCGAGAATCTGTCTCCGTGGGAACGTGTTTATCGAGCCGTTGCCTAGCAGTGGGTCGATACGTCACAGTATGATATGTTAACTGCAACTATAAACAGGATCTGAGGACCTGGAGACTTGTGTTTACATAAGAAAATAGTAAAGTTGTCCCTGTGCTTAACAAGTTAAGCACTGTGCCATGAAGGCACATTGGGGAGCGAAGGTATAGCGACAACATTCTTGACCTCGGCACTGGTTGGAGGTGAGGGGCCAGCTTCACGCCTCTGCCATTTCAGTCCCCAGGGAAAGGAGGGATAACATTATTACCGACAGAGTAACCGAAAATTTGCGACAGGTGGTAAAGCTGGGGCACTTATCGCGCAATAAAATTAACTAATAAACAGAAGTGTGTTGTTGATCTGTTCACAATGGGCCTGTTGTACCTTATATGACGCAGTCTGCAATGAAAATGAGTTAATTTAATTACTCTTCACTTTTCATATTACTTCCTAATTTGTAAGCGGTCAAGTCCCGGTCAGCAACGAAGTTCCTCCCCCAACTTAATGGCGAAGTGGTACAGGAGCAAGGTTTCCTCCGAGTTTATTCGGTTTTGCCCTGCTGGTTATCATTCCACAATTGCTTCATACTCATCTGTCACCACCTCCTGAGTTATGCAGTAGCTGTGACCAGGCAGCACATCCACCGTCTTTAGGTTGGATTGCGTCCCCATATCAACGAGAGTTGCCGCCTTTCAGTTCTTCCGACCTCGAATTACTCGTATTCAGAGGTGGCGAAGGAAGGCCCGAGTTTTCAGATATTTTCTGAATATTCAAAGCAAAACAAATGTTGCATTTTCTGTATCTATTACCGCGTAACAACATAATAAAATGAACGATTATGAAACTGTGATCTCAAGAATAATTACGATAATCAATATGCAGTCGTATCTGATTCCTTTTATTTTCCTTGGGGTTGCAGGATATAGGGAGAGACTGACAGTAAGTAAACGAGCAACGTGATGGTTTTATATGCTACAAAACTATTATTTTGCCTGTTGTTTTGTGTGGATGTGATACTTGGTTCATGACATTAAGGGAAGAACATAGACTGAGAACAGGGTGGTGAGGAGAATATTTGGACTCAAGCGGAATGGAATAATGGAGGCTAGAAAAATGAGTAATGGTGAGCATCATAACTTGTACTCCTCGCCAGATTCATGTAGAGGGAGATGAGCTAGGTAGCGCATGTAGCATGGGAGAGAAGATGATGGGAAGATAATAAGGAAAGAGACCACTAGGAAGACCTGGACATAGATGGGGATAGTACTGAACCGGATATTCGAGAAACAGGATGGAGATATGGAATAGACTGATATGGAACAATGGCTGGCTCTTGTTGATGTGGTAATGAATTTTCAAGTTCCATAAAATGCTGGGAAATTATTGAGCAGCTCTGAGTGCCTCGGATTTTCATCAACTTGGGTCTGTGGAGTTAGTTAAATAGGTATTTTCATTTTATGTGTGCACCATACTATTTACCTATCATATCCCCGTACATATCTTTTTGATGTGAATTTAAATTTAGCTTTTCTGCTATAATAGTCATCAGATCTGAAGACGTTTACAGCTAAATTTTATTTTCAAATGCTATTTTTTATTAGTGACACACTTGGGACTAATGTAA